TAAATTTACACAGCATTTTTGAAATGATAAAATCACAGAGTTCAAGACCACATCAGTGATTTCCAGATGGGGATTAAGGAAGGGGGCAGCTCAAGGTCAGCTTGGTGGGACAGGGCAGTTCTGCCTCCTACTGGAGCAGCTGCTGACACAAGTCTCCCCCTGTAGTGAGTGACGCGTGACAGAGGCGAGCACACACACATTCTTACAATCTTGGTATCAGGCTACACCTGTGTGAGATACGGCACGTGGGTGGGGGCCTGAGGGAAGGGCACATGAAATCTTTCTGCATTATCTTGGTCACTTCTTATGAATTCATAATACCTCCGAAATGCAAAGGTTTATTTTTTAAAGGGTTTTTTTAGACTTTGAACCATCACACCCTAATTTTTGTCCATGGACCCTATGATTTAAAATAGTTCATTGGCTAAATTGCATTTATTAAGATTATTCCCTTGTTTAAATTTGTTGATCAAATATATATAAGTGACTCACTTTCCAACTGATGCAAAAATGTAATTTGCAGGCAGATCAAAAATACAGGTAAAATGAAAGCATCTGAGTCACAGAGGCACACAGAAGCATACTTCCTGTCATTCCAGGCCTTGGGAAAATTTTCTAACTATGATACAAAGGCAAGAAATATATTGTGCCAGCAAAATGCCAAAAAGGCTACAGATAGATTAAATGATAAAGGACAAACTGAAAATATCTGCAGCTTATGTGCTAATTCAAAGGTATAAGTAAAGGACATTAATAAGGAATATTACCAACCACACACCAAACACAAGTAGTTAATACCCATGTACAGGAACAATCATAAGTGACCAAAGAGCTGCAAACTAAAACTATCACCCCCACCTGAGACTGGCGGGGAGAAACCAGAGAACAAGGCAACATGAACAACACAGCTGGGGTAGAAACTGACGCACACTTTCTCAGGGTGGTCTGACAATGTACCTGCGTGTCAACATGCAAAACAGGCCCTGTTCACCCAGCAATTAGTTACCAGGCAATTACCTAAGATGAAAATGGCACAGTGTAAAAGATGGTAATAATGAAAGAAAAATGCATGCTCAAGACTACTCACCTGAGAAGTATTTTTTCATCAGGCAGAAAAAGCTGAAACAATCCTAAACATCCATCAACTGAAAACCAATGGGGTAAGATCTGTGGCCTGTACATGTGATGAGATGCTGTACAGGCTCTAAAGATGACAAGAGTGGACAGTCACTGACTGCCTGGGTCAGGACCCACAGCAACCAGTCAAAAGCCACAACCAAGTCCACCACTCGCAGGCTCTGTACTACAGGCCCACTGCTGGGCCTCGCTGTCTCAGTTTCCTCTCCTATACGATGGACATAATGACAGTGCCTTGTTTGAAGGCTGCCAGGAGAACTCCAAGAGTGAATAGCTATCAGACACTGAGAACAGCCTCTGTAATATAAAAAGTATCAGAAAAAGCTCATTAGATAAAAAATACTGTCATAAAGAATGTGCCTGCCACACAGAGAACTAGAAAAGACCACCCAAGAGCACAGCGACCCCATCCTGACGGCCCAGGCAGGGTGCACAACAGGAGGGGCTTCTCGGCATCAGCAGCACAAAGGGTGCCAGGCCTGGGCAGCGAGGTTGTGGGCCACTGTGGTTTTCTTCTTCACGTTTTCTATGTCATTAAAAGAGAAAACAAAAAGTATAATCTCCAATTAGCACTCTCAAGACATTTTTGGAATGTAAGTTGCTGGGAGTTTTCTAGAAGTCTAGAAACAGATACACACATACATACTCATAATAAACACGTATATGTACACATACGTACATATGTTCACACATACACCTACAGATTTACTAAGAATTTACTAAAGAGCTATTTACAACAGCAAAAAAAAATCTGACAGAACCTGAACTTTCATCAGATGTACCACGGCTGGCAGCAAAACAAAGTCCTGCATAGCACGGGAAAATGGTACCACAGTGGCACATGGCAAGGGTCATTTGGTAAGGTGAAGGGGACATTGAAGGACTGATACACAAAGCAGGCCCTGACCCTTGCAGCCAGGAACATCCACACACTTTATGACCCACTCACACTGTCCAAAGCCAGACCTAGGCCTGAGATTTGGGGATGGGAAAGGAAGAGGAATGTCTGGTGTTGCCAGAGTGCAATCCGTCATCCCAGCCTAGTCACCAAGGTGGCTGGGTGCATCACAGAAAAGCCTGACAGGAGATACCTACAAGGTCCAAAAACAACACAGACGTGAGAGGAGATGGCACTGGACAGTCAGAGAACTAGGTTCTCAGAAAGACCAGGCAGAAACACAAACAGGGCAGCCTTGTCAGACAGAGAGGTCCTTCTGGCTAAAACGCAACAAGCATTAACTAGCTGTGCCATAAAACGCGGGGCAGGCTGTGTGTGCATGAGAGAGACTGGACACGTGGGGAAGGGTATGTGTGCATGTCTGTGTGTGATAGAGAGAGACCGGGACATGTGTGGCAGGTTGTGTGTGTGCATGTCTGTGTGTGACCGAGAGATACTGGACACGTGGGGAAGGGTGTGTGGGGAAGGGTGTGTGTGCATGTCTGTGTGTGACAGAGACCAGGACACGTGGGGAAGGGTGTGTGTGTGCATGTCTGTGTGTGATAGAGAGAGATCGGGACACGTGGGGAAGGGTGTGTGTGCATGTCTGTGTGTGA